ACTATTTACAATAAAAGAATTTTCTTATCAAAATTTTAAATTAGATTCATTTATATATGTTAATGATCCAACAAGAGTATTATTTCTTTTTTCTTGTTTATTAACATTAGCAATGTTACCAGCTCGATTTACTTGTTCAATTATTATTGATGATGTTCTTTGTGTATTTGCAATACTTACTCGTGCACCTTATTTTTTCTTTTTTTGTCGGTAAGATACAAAAAAAAAAAATAAAAGAGTTTTTTTTTAAAATTTTTTGATTAATCATAATAATTCATTATTTTTTCTTTAAAGTGGTTTTCGTTCAACAGGTCCATTTGTTATTATGATATATACAATGATTCGTGGTGATTTATTACGTTTTTGTTTAATATTTCTTGTTTTTATGTTTGGTTTTACACAAGCACTACATGTTTTATTTGTTCGAATACATTGTGAAAATGATTTTGCTACTGTTATTGGAACATTTTTTCATATGTTTTGTGTTACACTTCAACAAGTTACAGATGCTTATGAAAATTTTAATCGACATCCAATTACTGGTATTCAAATTATTGGAAAAGTAAATTGAATCAATGAAAGATTTTATATTTTTATATTTTTCATTTAATTTAATTTTAGATGTGGTTTGTTACATATATCGTCATAGCAGCAGTACTTCTTGTTAATATGCTTATTGCTAGTATGTATAGAAAATGTTTGATTTTTTTTGATTGATAAAAATTTTCTTTTATTTAGTGATGGGTAATACATATGCTATGGTAAATGAACGAAAAAAAGAATGGCTTCGACAATGGGCTAAAATAATGTTAATTATTGAACAATCAGTTTCACAAAAAGAACGTTTAATACAACAATCAAATTATTCAAAAAAAATGTCTGATGGTTCAAGAGTTTTAGTAACAAGACTTATACAAACAGTAATATCTATTATTTCATCAACTTTTAAAAATAATTTATATTTATATATATATATTCGTTTTTTTAGTCTGATGAACGTACTAGTATTGAAAGTATGCGTCCATATTATTATGAACAATTACGACGACATTTAGAACCAGAATGTATATCATTACAATCAAAAACAAAATCTATTACTGCTAATTCACAACATAGTTCTTTATTACGTGGAGCTATCGGAGTTAAAAATAGACAAGACTTATTTCGAAATCAACGAATACATGATAGTTTTAGTTCATTTGATACTACTGTACTTATGTAATTTGATATATTCTCTTTAGTAGACGAAAACGAAATGTATTCATTTTTTTTTCTTTTATACAATAAAATTATCAACGAGTGTCTAATAATGCTACAGGAATATTTTTTTTTTGTTTTTTGAATATACGTACACATATGTGTTGAAAAAGTACCCTTCATATTTGTATGTAATTGAATCGTTATATCAAGAATATTCGATAACATAGTGAAAACATTCATTGATTAATATACAGGATACATAAAAATATTTTTTTGTCAGAGAAGCTGGGGCTATGATATCAATTAGTATAACGAATAAACTTTTCTACCAAATGAAAGTTGGTCAAAAAATGGAATTTATGAAGGCGATTGATAGCTTACAGAATGAGATGAGGTGTATTGGTGTGGAATCTAAACCTTGTCTTAATCAACACATCTACACCTACAAACATATCGTAGAATTATGCCATGGCTAGTGATGGCAAGATTTGAAGACAGAACTTAGTAGATATATGTCGAACAACGTAGTCATCCAGCTATGGCGGCGCCAAACGATACAGAATTGTTTGCTGTATTCCAGAAACAAAAAAAATCAATGGAAACAGATGTGAAGAAAAGAAAAAACAGAAGTCGAGAGTGTGACTGTGGCTGTTTTATTTTTAAGTCACGTCAACATCGACACTCACCCCTGTTAGTTAGAAAGAATTAAGTTAATTTGAGATGGTGCTCTGTTGGATCGAATTTCATGATCTCAAAGTTTTGATTGCATGATGAAGTAGTACAAAACTAATAGTCTTTAGAAAAAAATCGAACTATCTTCTATCACATTGATTCAAAGATATCTAACTTCGAAAATAAATGACTTTTGAATGCAATATATCAAAAGAGTACTTTGTAGTACTTTTAATCATATACCGATTCTACTTTATTTGAAAACTATAAAAAAAAAACTAACAATTCAATGTTGCTAAACTATACTACATTGCTCTACATTCGTAGTAACTACAATTGTAATTTGCAGCAACTTCGTGAAAGAAACTTTCATGTACCAAGTTGGAAGAATCTATATCAGTATTACATGTAGGCGCAACTTGAATTACACTTGCATAGTAATTGCGTATGCACCACTCTCGCCTGTTGCCCGTCTTCACATCAACACCAGCCAAGTACGAGAGTCGTTGTGGTTTGTTTTTATCATATTTAAAAAGAGCCAAATTAGGATGGTCACTTTGACATTCGTAGCTCGTTCTTAATACATTGTACGTGGCATAAATATCTAGTACAAAAAAATGTGGTCAATGTTTTATATTCAACTATAAGTTTATATTTCTATTTCCTTACTATATCGAACAAAATTCAATAGGAATATCAATAATGAATGAAACAATTCCTTTGAAGTTAATCTATGATCAAGAAGCTTTCGATACTTAAAGATTCCTTCTAGAGAGATTGGTAACATTTAGGTTCTATATCGATAAATAACTTTGAGCTGTGTACTTTTCATGAATTAGTACTATTCCCAAAATCTATAACCATAAAAGCTTAAAATCCTGTAGTTTGGTATTTACAAGTAAAATGGAAGAGTGAAGTGTGTTCTTAAGTTTCATGTAAAATCTTACTAAAAATATTTTTAAAGTTTATTTATATAATAAAAATTAACTTAGGAATAAGTTCATCGAAAAATCGACTTTATTATTTAGGAGGATAACATGATGATTTTCAATGAATTCACTCTTTGAACGTTTCTATCATATAAATTTTAAAGCAGTTCAATTTTTGATACTTTCAAATA